GGGGGGGAGTAATCGAAATGATACGATAACAGCTAGTTACTAGTTAGTACCGGTATAAACAAAGAGAGACAGAAAGGAAGAGAGAGAAAGAAAAGAGATCTACACCTACCAGAAGTGTCCTCTAACCACTCTCTTTCGTTTTTGTTTTTGTTATTGCTGCTGTTTTTGTTGTTGCTGTCGTTGTTAATGTTGTTGCTATTTTTCTATTTTGGGAAAAAAAGAGGGGGGGGGGGTGGTATAACCAGCTTCTGTGGCGTAGCGGTTAGGAGCTCCGCCGTTGCACGAAGAAGACCGGAGTAAGAGTATCTCGGTCTTTCTGCTTTGCATGCCCTCTGCCCAGGTTGGGCCTGATAGGCAGGGTCGAAGCTCGCAATCTAAATGATCATAGTTAAACGATCGTAAAATAAATATATTAAAGCAAAGAATCATAGCGCCAGACAGTCGAGACGTCATCACTTGTACCAATGACAGCTTGTACTCACCTATAGACATCGCCAGGATTAAACTCCCTTTGAATGAGAGCTCTTCTGGCCGGGTGAACAGAGAATCTCGAGTCATTGTCACTGGGCTTAGACATGGTCTCAGTGCCGTCTTCGACAGAATCGCTGTCTACAGTTGACGACCGACCCAAAAGGGTAACAGTCCGTAGCCTCGGTTCTATGATATTGTACATACTGCAGCCAGATTGTCTCAGTTTAAAAAAAATGTTGCAAAATTTTACTGCAACTAACTACTCCTCGAACTTTACGACATGACGACAATTTCTTTCATGAAAGAAACACACCAGAGACATCCACAGTCCCAAGTTCGTCCTGAACAAACAGCTAAAAAGTATAGTAACTATATTGTCTCCACCGGTCACCGCTGGATTTATGGAAGTATCGGTACTGATTAACACGTCACTGCCAATGCACGCTCAACAATCTTAGCATCTGATCTAGTAAGACCGAACAGCTATCACTAGAATAAATAAGCTAGTACCTAATATGAAATGTAAAAAAAAAAACCCATAAAGAAAAATAGATAAAAATGTATACAAACAAAAAGATGGTCGCACAAAAACCCCCTCAAAACAAAGAACAATCAGTTGATGAGTAGCGCACCTTTCAAAGTATATTATTGAAGAATATTTGCAGTTCCTGCCCACCCTGTCCCAAAGCACAATACCCTGTCCACAGTTCCTTCTCCTACACCATTTCAGTTCACTCATCTGCTGTGTGAGAGAAAGAAAGAGAGAGAGAGAGAGAGAGAGAGAGAGAGAGAGAGAGAGAGAGAGAGAGAGAGAGAGA